TATCCTATCTTATTTTTAACTTGATATGAGGTGTCTCGAAATTTTTCGTAAAAATGTTTTGTACCATTTTTCCGAAAAGTATTATGTATTTGTTACGAGTACAATTTCGTGCAATTTGTTATATATACACGTATGTTCTGAACGATTCCCATTTGTTTCAACAAATTAATATATTTTAAAAGATTAGATCTCAAGAACATGCGAAAAGAAATAGGAGACTTTATTCATTCGGGCCACCTTGTATCCTATTTTTTCTTCATCTTATTAACTGCGTTTTAGATTTCCAACCTAGATAGAAATAAAGATAAATAAGTAAAGAAAATATTCTATTCGATAACAATATTATTATTATTCGATTATATGGTACAATGTTTCTAAATTTGATGATCAATTATTATGAAAGCTGGATTATTCAATAATAAGTAGTGCCTTGAGATTTTAATGAACGAACGAATAAATTATTTTTTAACTGAACATTATCTCCTGGTTGTTACTCGATTCATCGATATTACCGTATACCATGGGACTTCCTTGTCATACATTACGTGTCTGTGTTCTTTTCTGTTATTTGTTGTATAACCAAATAATGCATAGAAATCTTTGTATCGAGAATGCGTATATAACAGGTTTGCATTATTAATTTTCCTCGCACGCCATTTGTGTTCTTAACCACCATTGTTACCATTCGTTTTTTTCGATATCTGCGTTGTCGTTTTGTTTCGCTTTGATTTGAGTACTCTGCGGGCCGGGACTTAGATAACAGGATGTCACTCTGGAGTACGATTTCGTCTGGACAGCAAAATACCGGGACGAAACTAGACCGGGTCTTTGTAGAAGGTGCGTATTCGTAGATTTTGTAGAACAATTTTTAATTCCCTTCCTCCCTCCCCCCCCCTTTTTTTTAAATTTATTTTTCACTCTTAATGTTTTGTGTCGATGCACTGACAAGTTCATTATCATTATTAATTTCTTTTTGTACCATTATCAATCACACATGTACATCATCGTTCAACTCACTACCCTTTTTCTTTGTTTCTTAATTATTACTATATATATGATTTTTTTTTTTTTAGATAACGATTGAGAATCATTGTTCCGTGTTGAGAAGATTAATTACTGCTCCTATTATGTAAAACCTGTAGATAGCATGGGAAATTGTAACATTTGGCTTGTGTATATATACTTGGAATCACCCTTTGTGCGAGCAGTAATTAATTATAATGTGAAACAGAAATATTATTTTTGATATTTAATATCGAGTTTTGCTTGCCATAACACATATAAATTAATATCATTCTTTTTTTTTCAGCTTTTGAAATATTTTTATCAGAATTTCATACAGATCTTGTGTCTTTAATAGGAAATTTAGTTTATTCTTTGAATTATTTATATATCATAAATATTATTTTTATAATCAGTTTATCTTATTATTTCAATTTAAATTTACAATTTAAATTTCATTGTCAGGTTTTCATTATCATTCAGAAAAAAATAAATTGCATTGAAGGCACGAGATTCTTGAGATTTTCTTTTTCAAATCACTCTAGAAAAGCTTTATTCTCTTATGTTTCAGGACCGGAAGTATTATGTTCGTGCGCAGTAAGGGATACTACGTAAGAGAGCTATACGCGAAACGATACCGGCAGGATAACACAAGGGCTCTGCATTGTTTAGTTGAAACATTGTTCGATGTCCATTTTATCCGAATCGTTTTACGTATAACAGCACATTCCAGCTGCTTTTCTCGATTAATAAGATGCATCGTAAAAGAAGTACTTCATGTTGCTGACGTTTTCAATACGGGACGATTTAAGACATGCTAGCGACTGACTGTTTTTGAAATAGCAAGGAAAAGAAACACAGAATATAAGGCGAATTGGTCTATCTTGCTTTGAGAATGTATCTGAATCAAAAATCATATTCAATCATTTTTTTTTTTTTTTTTTTTTTTTTTTT